AGTCAATGGGGAAGCCAAATTCACTTAACAACCGTGTTACTAACTGCAATGATTCACTTAACAACTGGAGCAAGAAAGGTCATAAAGTTCACTTAACAAATATCTTGCTTAGCAACAGAAATGGGGCTGCCCTTGACGACTGTTCAAAATTTTCAGCTGGAATTAAATGCAGTGATGTGTGTTTCTGACAGAACATGTTACCCCTCTGCTTCATGAGCTGCACTGGTTACCAGTTTATTTCCGGATCTAATTCATGGGGTGGTAATGTTGATCTTCAAAGCCTTACATGGCAAGGAAATGGTCATCTGAGGCAACGCCGCTCCCTGCACATCTGTCCGTCCCACCAGATCCAGCAGAGAGCAGGATCAGTGGGTTCTGTGCAGTGGTGGGATCCAACTAATTTAACAACTGGTTTGTCCTAAAGACCAGGTGGGCGTGGCTGGGGGGTGTAATGTGACTGAGTGGGCATGGCCAACTCTGTGTCACTCACGGCAAGGTGGAGTGGCATAGGCGGTCAGAAGCGGCAGTGACAATGGCCGGAGCCTTAGACTTAGCTTTGTGCAGCAACAGCAATGGTGATTCTCCAACACCTCATCTCTTGCTGGGTCTCGCTGCCCGACAGTCAGGGTTTTTAAAAAGGTTTTTGCAGCAGGAAACGGCAGGCGGCTACTTCTGGTCTTTGTTGGTGCAGCTGACCACAGAACCCCGCCCCAAGACACTGGCCTGCAGCCGCCGGTCTTTTTCGGTGCAAGAAGCCTCCAGCCACCACCTCTTTACCGGAGTGAAGGGCCTCCAGCTGCCATCTTTTTACCGGCACAAGGGGCATGCAGCAGCCACTGCCTCTTTGCCGGCATGAACAGCCTCCAACCGCCTCTTTGCCAGCTGGAACCGAGCCAGCAGCCGTGGCTGGAGGCTTCTCGCACTGGCAAAAAGGCAGTGGCTGCAGGTTTCTCTGTGTGGGGGGACACTGCAAGGCTCGGCCACCTTTCGGGCCCTGCTCTAGGCTGCTGCCTGCTTGACCTCCGCTCTGCCTTGGGTCCCACGTCCAGTCCACAAGGGGATATGCCACTTCCAGGCCAGACTGGCTGGCGGGTGGGCGGCCCTTACCTTCCAGCCCATGGGGCTCACACCATTCTCAGTGGTGGCCCGCCTCAGACACGAGGTGAAGAGCGAGCAGGTGGTATGCAGGCAGAGGCCCCAGGGAAGGCCAGAGCCAGGGACTGGCGCATCCCCCAACCAGAGGCGAAGGGTGAGTGGGTGGAAGGATAGCGAGAGCCAGGCCTGAAAGGCAGCCAAGCCTCACCGTGTCCACCCCGAGGCAGCCCTTCAGCTGAGCACCTTACCTTCACGGACAACCATGGTGAGCAGAGCAGGTGAGGCATGGAAATTAGCTGGGCCATGTGGTCTGAAGGAGCCAGAGTGTAGCTGGGCACGGGCATGACTCTAGCCACTGACAGTGGGCGAGGCAAGATAGGGTGGGATGGGTGCCGAACCGCGCAGAATCTTAACAACCGGTCTGCCCGAACTGGTCCAAACTGGCTGAATCCCTCCTCTGGTTCTGTGTAACATCTGGCAGGCCCTCAGTGGGGGCCGTTCCTGCTGTGGTGCCTCCCTTGTGGAATACCCTCCTGCCAGCCAAGCAGAAGCTGGCTCCATCCCAACTGACCTTCCAAAGGTCCCTCAGGAGCGGCTTGTGCCATCAAGCCTGGGTATCTCAGGGGACTGGTGAGTTAGCGAAGTGGGCTCCATTATGATCGGTATCTCTTCACGTCTTTGTCTTAGCTTTGTTTTTAATACTTTTAATGTTTTTGAATAATGATCGTTTTAGGTATTTACTGTTTTAAGGTTGTATGCTACTCCAGAGTCCTTTGCTATGTGAGATGTAGACCTTGGACCAATAAATACCTCACCCTGAGATTGTCCCCAGCCGTTTGGCCAACTGTTGTGGCCTGCCCGTGGCCTGCGCAGATCGTAGCTGATCCTGACAACGAGGAGGCTAGTGTGGTGTCACGCCAGCAGCCTGCACAACCGGCGCTCGAGTCGGACAGCGAGGAGGCTGAAGAGGATGTGGTGCCAGAGGCAGAGACTCAGCCAGGGCCTTCAGAACCTCCAGAGGCTCCTTCAAATGGAGAGAGCGAAGTGGAGGAGCCTCTCCTCAATGCTCGGGCACGCAGGGCTGCCAAAAGGCAGGAGTGGCTACTCAGGAGGAGGAGGTCTCCTCGAGAGTAAGGCTTGAGGATAATTGGCCATTCCCTTAGCCTATTTAAGTCACACGCAGTTAGTTAGTTTCTTGCTAGAAACAACTCGTCTTTATTATCAGAGTATTTGGGTTTATCATATCTTGTTTTCTGGGCTGGTTGCCAACCTTTGCCGGACTTTTGGTTTATTCTTGCTACTTAATCAATTTGATAAGGACCGTTGGTGTGTGTCAGTATCCTCAGGAATCCGGAGCTAGGGCAGAACACCCACTTGGGGGCCCTGCTGTAGGCAGCCCTGAGACCCAGGAGCTCAGCTCAGCTGGGTTGGTCTGGGCAGCTCACTGGGGCTTGGATCAGGCTTGGATCCTTCGGTTGATGGCAGTCTGGCTTCTCGAGTCCTAACTCAAGTCCTCACTCATGGCAAGTGGCACAACCTTATTTCTTAAAGCACAGTTTATTAGCTAGGTAAATTGTACAAATTGTATTAATTTTTTAATAATTATACAAGACAAATGTTACCAAAACTTTTCAATGATTTCATGTCTGCTAAAAAGCGGGTTTATTCATATTTATGCACTTGATATTGAATAATTTTAAACCAATAGTACAGGGGAACTATTGTGGAAAATTCAGTATTAACAGAGTTGGAAGGGACCTTGTAGGTCATCTAGTCCAACCCTCCACCCAAGCAGGAGACCCTACACCATTTCTGGCAGATGGCAGCCCAGTCTCTTCTTGAAAGCCTCTAGTGATGAAGCTCCCACAACTTCTGAAGGCAACTTCTGTTCCCTTGCTTGATTGTTCTCACTGTCAAAAAATTCTTCCTTATTTCTATGTTGAATCTCTCTTTGATCAGTTTCCATCCATTTTTCCTTGTCTGGCCTTTGGGTGCTTTGGAGAATAGGTTGACCCCTTCCTCTCTGTGACAGCCCCTGAAATATTGGAAGACTGCTATCGTGTCTCCCCTGGTCCTTCTCTTCCCTAGACTAGCCATGCCCAGTTTCTGTAACAATTTTTCATATGTTTTAGCCTCCAGTCCCCTAATCCTCTTGGTTGCTCTTCTCTGCACGCTTTCTAGAGTCTCAACATCTTTTTTACAATGTGGTGACCAAAACTGGATGCAGTATTCTAGGTGTGCTTACTAAGACTTTATAGAGTGGTGTCAGTACCTCATTTGATCTTGATCGCATTGGGTTTTTTGGCTGCCATCATACACTGTTGGCTCATATTTAATTGGTTGTCCACTAAGACTCCAAGATCCCTCTCACAATTAACTGCTATCAATCCTGGTTTCTCCCAATCTATATGTGTACTTTGGGTTTTTCTTGCCTAAGTGTAAGACTTCACATCCATCGACCAGAATCAGCAAAAGAATCCATGACTACTATACAAGCATATTGGATATATTGAAACACCCAGAATCATGGACCTCATTAACCTTTTCCTGTCCACCTCCTTTCAGTTTGGTGGACAAATATACCAACAAATCAAAGGAACACCTTTGGGATCACTGCTTTCAGGACTCATAACACAAGCTATAGTGCAGTGCCTGGAATCTATAGCACTCCCACACAGACAACTCAAAGTATGGATCTGGTACGAAGATGACACCTTTGTCATATTAAAAAAGGCCCAACTATAGAAAACACGGGAAACTATTAACATCATCTTCCAAGGGATAAAATTCAAAATGGATGAAGAAAGCATCACCAGGCTACTTCTCCTGGAAACACACATCTAACATGAAACTACCCACAGCAACCTCTTTTATACCAGGAAAACATTACCAGGTGCTGCTGGCAAGTTCCATTTTTATTTTCACAGTTCTGTCTGAAAACCTTATTCTTAAATCTTTTCTCTGTGATGTAATAGCAATATGTGACTCTGCAAGTCACACAAGATAAGGGCTTGTTTATAATCTTATTTATCTATCAAATTTCTATCCTGCCCATAATACCAAAGATTACTCTAGGCGGCTTACAGACCCTGAATAAAATGTGAAATAAAACATTAAAACAATAAATAAGGATAAATCCATCGGGCCGAGCCAGTTTCCCAGATAGCCAGGCAGGGCTTTACAGGTGACCCACAAAACCTTGAGCTGAACCTGGAAGCACAGGGGCAGCTCCCGATGGGAAGCTGCATCAACTTGGCTTCAGAAGCACTGTGGACTCTGAACGGAAACAACTGGAGTTCATCTCCATTTCCTGGGGGGGGGAGGGGGGAACAGTGGGGTGCACTGCTTTGGGGTTGAGAAGCCCACAGGGAACAGGAACCTGTCAAAAACATAGCAGCAAAAATTGACTTGCTTATAATCAATCTTTTCTGTTCTCAAAATTAGATGTGAAAATTATGTATTTTGTGGAGAGTTTTTAAGAAGACAGTTCTCACACTTAGATTTTAATTAAGTAAAGTTTAATATATATGTGTATATATATATATAGTTTCATTATAACAAAATAAGCAATTGTTATGAGTAAAATATTCTTTAAAATCTGGCTAAGAATATTTATATTTTTAGATATTGAGAACTTATAATTATTATAATTGCCTTTAAAATATTTTCAAAGAAATATCCATGTGAAGTTCAAGGTTTTTAAGCACCTAAAATTTGAAAATGCAGTTATCCATTAAGACCTGTAAGACATTCCAAGTAGTTTTGTAGAATTTAGTTTAAAAACAGGATATTTCACCCTGTAAGGGCAACAACAAAAATAATAATGAGGCTATAAAGTTTTTCTTATGAAATTATGAAAAATTAGTTTTTCCTTTTCAAATAATGCCATTTAAGAATACATTAGCTTTGATTTTGAAAAAAGTTTTTATTAAGCTGAGAGAAAAAATATATTTGCGGCAGAAACTGTGAAACTATAATTTGAACCCAAATCTCTTGAAGGAAACCATGCTAGCAAATTCAAACGTGCAAAACTGCTCCCATTTTACATTAAGACCACTTTTCTTTCATCTTATTATAAAATTGTTAAAAGGCTACATAAAAAGCTTTGTTTTCTCAAAGTCTCTGAAGGATACTTTCCCTTAAACATTAAGGAATTTTAACCGCATTATTCTCCATTTCTATCCACAGGAGTGGAAAGAGTCCCCTCACTCTTGAGAAAAAAGCCCTCGGCCAGCAGCTTGCGAAACGTTAAAACCAAAGAGGGGCTTTGTCCCAGGGGAGCCCCGAGAAGGGATAACAGGCAGGTGGGCAGGCAGACAGGCAGGCAGGCAGGCAGGCAGGCTGGCTGGCTGGCTGGCGGAGGCCGACCCCTGGAGTTGGGGTACCCTCAGAGCTTCTCCTTGGCCGGCACCCAAATGACGGGGCTGGAGTGCTCCTCAATGACTTGCTTGACATGATTGTAAATCTCTTCCAATGTGTCACCTTGTACAATGGCTGTAGGGACACAAACAAGATAGCTCTTGAGGACCCCATTCTGCTCTTTCCCTTGCTTCTGCAGAGTTCTTGCAGCCCCACCCCCACCCCTCGATTCTGGTGCCCCCCACTCTATTGCGAGGTTTGGTCCCCTCGATTCTCTGCGGCTCAATTGTTTCCCCTAAAGATCCTCAGAAAAGGGGGGGGGCTATTCAGAGCCTTCGCCTTCTAGTTCTCCAGATGACTGTAGGGGAGCCTTTCTGGCCAGAATCCCCTCAAGATGGCAGGTACAAAACCACATGCTGCAAATGGGGAGCAGCCAGCCCCCAACCTCCACTAACTAACCCTAACCAGAACCAGAGGACTCCAAAGGCCAGGTGCCGCAGAGGCTGGCACTGGGGACACATAAACAACTGATTCCTGCCATAGTCTCTAAGAGAGAGGAGGTTCCGGCTGCTCCTGGGACATTCCAGGACAGCCCTCGATAGCAGAAAGAAACGTGGAACAGAGGCAGAGGCTCCAACCTGTAAAATGTTCTGTAAATTCTTGCTCCAGCTTCATGGCTCGTTCAAAGGTTTTTCGAGCTTGCTCATCCGTTAATCGTTTATTCATTTCCCTGAGTTTGCAGATATTTCAAACTCATTAGCGTTATCAACAAAACAGATTTAGCAGATTTAGTTAAACACACAGAGGAAGGTCGGGGGGGGGGGCTAGGCAGGGCTTCCTTTTGTTGGGGTTGGGAAACGGGGTGGGTGGAGGGGTTCCTCCAATCTCAACCTCCCCAGGTTGCCGCCCTCACCACTTTAATAACTTTGTGGAGCTTTGTCACAGGCATGCCGAACATCAGGGAAGACAGAGGGAGTCGCCTTTTCAGTTCGGGGGGAGAGGGCAGGGCCTGGATCTCACAGACGGTAGCTAGCTCGCCAGACGGCCAACTCCTCTTTCTTGGAAGGCTCCTTGGGGTCGTCCTCAAGGAGCCCCAGCAGCCAGAGGGGCAAAAAGGGGCAAGCACTCACATGATGTTCTCCACGGACTTGGGCTTGATGAAGATGGAAACCGGGTGCAGCTGAGCGCTCTGGAGCCTCTTGATGGCATTCCCAGAAACATCAAGGATGCAGTGCTTGCCCTGGAGGGAAGGAGAGGCTGCCTGAGGAGCCGCTCAGTTCAGCGCCACTGGCCGTGGGGCCTCGATGTGGGGGAGGAGGGGGAGCAGCGCCTTTACCTTCTCGGCCACCTCCCTCACGGACCGGACACTTGTCCCATAGAGGTGGTTGTTGTACTGGCCGGCTTCAATGAACCGGTGATCCTGGATGTCTTTCTCCATTTGTTCTCGCGACATCACAAAGTGGTAATCTCGCCCATCCACCTCGTAATCTCGTTTCGGTCGGGTGGTATCTTTACCAAGAGAGAGAGAGAGAGAAAGAGAGAATAATAGAGAGAACCGAGGTTGAGCGGATGTCAGCAAATGTCCACTGGCAATGAGTTCTACTGAAGCTGCAAAACAGGTGGACACGAGACCCAACGAGGAGAGATGTACGCAAACACACACCTCAGTGCCCAGGAGAAAGGCTGACAGAATGGTGGTGCCAGTGAGTGTGTGTAGGTAGGATGACCTTTCATGATCACCCTGGCTCTGGTGGGAGAGCCAGACACCCTTCAGAAAGGATCAGAATCTTCCAGTGGAGCCATCCAAAGGAGCTCCTGCAATCTCTTTTCAGACAGATTTGATCAGGGCAAATGCCCCAGTGAGTTGATTCTGGACCTACTCTGGGGTGCTTGCCTACTTTGTCATCTCCACCCCCTGGAGAAGGCCGTGGTGGGCCCAGGTGCAAATTAAGGGAGGATCCAGGAAGAGAGCCTGTCCTGGGATTGCACCTGTCCAGGGGAACCTCACACACAACCACGCCGGTGGAAATCGGATGGGCTCTGACCCCATCTGCCTTTGGCGGGGCCAGGGAGACAGCATATCATAACCTTGAGAGACGACAGGAAGAGCCAAAGCCCCGGAAGCCACCTGACCATGAGAAGCCGGAGGAAGAAAAAGCCTCTCGGCCCTCCCTGTTCTGGGGAAAGTAAAGGCTGGGGAGCGGGGGGAGCCTTTCCAGACTCACCAGTTTCTGTGACTGCAGCCTTCTTTAAAAAATGAAAGGTTTGAGTTTTTTCCTGTCTGGACTACCTCAAAGGGCTGACACGGGGGAGGGGGGGGGCATGAGATCTCTCACACGAATCGCTTTTTCTTAGTTCAAAGCCCTTCTTGCCTCGGCCAGCCGGAAGCGCCCAACTTCCCAGAGGATGCCCCCAGATCCCAGCAGGAGGGAGCCTGCCTTGGGCAGTGAGGGCAACTCCCAAGGACGGGGCGGCTGCTGCTCCTGCTGTGTTACCCAAGTGAAGTTTTGGCTGAAGGGTCCCGGGGGCCACTCCGGCCATCGCTTACAAGAGCAAGGCAGAATGCAAGGGACTGCATTGAAAAGACGTATAGGTTTCAAGCACAAAAAAAAGGAAGAGCCACAGCCCCCCCCCCCCCCCCCCCCTCAGCTAGGTGGCACACATACGTGGGACACAGGAGCCGAACTTGTCAGGGAATTCTGAGATGAGGTCGTCGTTGATGCGGTCTTTCATGGGACCCAGGACAATCACAGGACGCGTGTAGCTGACTGGAAAACAGAAACAGACCCAGCCGCCTCCAGTTAGGGAATTTTGGCAGAGCGAGGGGAGAGGAGCCACACCTCCCTAGCAATAGCAGCACCCCCTTTTCTGGAAGATGGCCAGGTGCCTAAGAAAGTGGGGGAAGGGCACAGGGCCACTGGCCCTCCAGTCTGAGCCACTTCCTCAAAGGCGTCCTTCAGCAACCCAATCCAGAGGACCAGAAGCATGGACGGGCTGAGTGAACAAGAAGGCGGGCAAAGCCAGACACGACACGCTCTCTCCCTGGGGCCCCAAAGGGTGTGACCGCTCACACTTACAACCCATGGTAGTGTCAAGTGACCACAATTGGCAACATTTCTGGCATGTTTTGCCAGTTTCCAGCAAAGAACCTCCATTTGGGAGAATGAATTCTGTTAAGGACTACTTAAAATCAAATCAAGTCATGAGATGACCCAGTTAATGATCACAACAATTTACAATCAAAATTGTGGGCTCGATTATGGTCGTTAAATGAGGACTAGGTTTTGGGACTAGAGGCCGGGGAGGTGGGTTGAGAAGAAGACCGTCTGAGGCAGAGACTAAACGGGAAGCCCACATAAGGAAAAGCTGGGAGAGCCCCTGCTTTAAATGCTCATCATAAATAGATTTGCCATGTAAAGCAAATAAGTCATTAAGTGAACGCGGTAGTCGTAAGTGCAAATCTATTCATGTGAAGAGGCATTTTTTTCTTCTGCCAGAAACCAGTAAAAAGCATCATGAAAGCAGGGAGAGACAAGAAGAGCTTCCCAGGCAGGCAGGCACCACAGCCCCTGGTCTTCCAACAAGAGCCATCAGGAACAGCGTAAGCAAATAGGTCACATTAGGTCAGCCACATTAACAGCCGCCATGAAACCGGAGGAGGCGGAGCCAATGATGCAGCGGCAAGACGAACTCTTTGGAGCTCCCAAAGAGTCGTCGATATTCCCGCTGCCCGAGGGTCCGCTGTGACCTAACTCATCCTGTAGGAACGACCAACAAGTGGAGCACGTACTGATCAACCTAGGGAGGTGGCAAACTCCCAGGGAAAGTTGGAAGAAGCTCCTCAAATCAGGCACCGAGGGAAAGCGACCAAGAAGTCGCTGAAAAGCTGGGGCGGCCGAACCAAAAAGAGAAAGTTAAGAAGCAGCCTGTGACATCGGTGAGGTGAGATCAATTCAATTTTATTACCTCAAAAAAAGAGAGAAAATTTCTCTAATCTACCTGGAAGATTGATAGGGTGGAGAAGAGTGGCTAAGAATGAGGAATGGGTGTGGGTGTGTATCCACACCCAAATCCTGAAACTGAGGCAGCAAGGAATGCACGTTTGAGAGCCCATTAAACCTTGACTAATTTTTAATCTTTTAACTGAAGAAAAAGAAAAGAAGATTGAGGACTGCTAAAATTACTATATATTAAGGTTTTAAAAGACTGAAATGAATATACATTTTTTCTGTTTGGATTGTTACATTGTTGATTGCTGGACCATACTTTGTTTAAACAAGAGGAAGAATCGAAAGTGTTGAACTGAGGCGAAAAATTAACTTGCAGTGCCATCTAGTGGCAGAAAAAAAATAAAAATAGAACAGCTGTGGAGAATGACGTGAAGATTAACTGTGTTTTGGAAGCTTTTTTATTTATGTTCTTGTACTGTTTTCCCTTTTTTCTTCTCGGAGGTGTGGATTGTGATTTTCTATTTTTCTTCTTTTTGGGGTTGACTAGAAGATTATTGGCTTTGAATTTTTATCTTTTATTTTCCTTGGATTAGAGACTATATACTGAACTAAATGAAATTGGATTTTTAAATTCTGTTTTCCCATGGATTAGGACTTGAAGAGTCAGAAGAATTCTTCTTTAAATTTTTATTGTTTAATTTTCCCATCTTTTCCCCTTTTTTTATTAAATTGATTTTTTTATGATTTTTAATTGCACCAATTCTTTAATTTCCTGCTTAAATTTTTCAAGATTCTGATTCACAATCTCATCCCTTCTTACAATCTCCTCCAAAAGAAATTCAGTTAAATTAAAATCATTTTTCTGAGTCTGTAGGTTTAAGACTTGTTCATGTAGTTTGTAGATGGGGGAATCCCCCCCCCACTGCTTGTTTGTCTAGCTTTGTTAGTTTAAACGCCATACTTCCACACAGACAAACTTTTTTAAAGAAAATAAAAGAAAGCTTCTTTCCAAACAAGATCAATATCAGTTCTCCAGGAAAAGGAAAACATAAAAATAGATCTTTTTCTTCAATTGTAGCCAGCAGTATTTATTCCGCTACCTTGTGACTTATTAAAAAACGGAAGGACTTTCCCTTTTGGCTCCTTCTCAACCCTCGGCAGTCGCCATTTTAAAATTCTTTTTTTTCCTTTCTTCAATATCTTTTATAAAGTAAGTAAAAATACTTGCAATTTAGGGTCACAGGTCCAGATCTCATCCTCTTTAATTAATTTGTTAATTTTCTTTAAAAGGCTTGTTCTCGTCGCCTGGCTCTGCAAGAAGCAGAGGTCTTCCAAAGCCCGGGGCAGCGGCGGGGGAAATAGGGAGCCTCATCTGCTTCGCCCCCAAGAGTAAGAAAAAACTCTGGAGGCTTCGCAGAGAGCTCTACCTGCCCTCACCTGCTCTATCTCACATTTCCTTGTGGAAATGGAGTTTTTCGAGCCGCCTTTCCGTTGTAAGGGCGGCTCTTTACAGGCGATGAGGCTGGCGGTCCCGAGGGACCGTCTGGCAGCGACGGAGAGCAAACCGGAAGTCTGATTTTTTTATGATTTTTGATTTTGATTCTAAAACATTACTTTTTAGCTTTCCTCATTTTGCTTCAGAGAACTTGGATCATAAGTTTTCTTTTATTCTTAAATGGTATTTTTATTTTATTTTACCTCTCTTCTAATTTATTTTTTTTTATTTTTTTTTATTTTTTACCTTTTTACATATTGTAGAAGGGCAGGGAAGATTCCAGACATTTTGCTTTACTTCACAGAATTCTATTTTTTTCCCTCTTTTCTTTCCTTTTTTGTAAATTTAATCATTGGTTGAATTTGATATTTGAACTATAAACCCAATCACAAGTGGATTATAAATATCCAGAAAAATAAAAATGAGGAAACATACCCAGCCTATATCAAGTCCCTCAGCGGCAGAAATTCAGAAAACTTCCGAGATAATGGAACTACGGAATTTAATGCAATCTCTTCTCGTTGAGATAAAACAGGAACTAAAAGAAATGAAAGAAATTATGGGGAAGAACGAGGAGAGAATACGGAAAGTGGAAGAAAAAGCAGAAACAACAGGAAAAAAAAGTTGAGAAATTAGAAGAAAAATTGATGTCTACAAATAAATTCCAAGAAAGAACAATTATTCTGTTGGAAATGGAATGCTCTGAATTTTACCTAAGATTCCAAAATATAGAAGAAGAAAAGGTAAATCATCTGACAACAAAATGAAATCAATCCTAGAGAAGGATCTATGTCTATCTGAAAAAAAAGTATAGTCCAGTTCTTTTGGGTTATGTATTCTCCAAATATCTTTTAGTTCCAAATCTTCTTTCATATCAAAAAAGGTCTGAGGTAACCTAATCCTAGATTTCGCTGAACTCCTTTTGTCTAATTTAGAGTCTATTACTCCATTCCAGTCTCCCATGATTAAAATAGATCTATAGTCCCATTGTAGTATTTTAGTATGTAACATTTTATAGAAATAATCCTGTTGTTGGTTGGGAGCATAAATTCCTATCAAAAGAATTTGGCCATATGTTGTAAGTAATTCAATTGCTACAAACCTACCATCTTCATCTGTTTCTATAACTTTAGCCGTAAATTTCTTATTTACATAGATAACCACACCATTCTTTTTTTGCAACGTTGAAGATATAAAATGTATTCCTAGTTTGGAGTTTATCAAGTATTTTTGATCTTGAACTGTAATATGCGTTTCTTGTAGACAAATTATATCTTATTAAATTGTTTCAAATATATAAATAATTTCTTCCTTTTCTGTGCTGAATTCAACCCATTCACATTCCAAGATAAACACTTAAGCGTCATCTTCATCTTTCTGGAGCAAAGAGCAGAATAACCGAATATCATCCAAAATCTTCGGAGTCGCTCCCCCCATGGCTCCAGTCTCTTGTATAATAGTCTTAGCTCCCTTCTTGTCTTGTCTTTCCTGTTGTTGTTGTTGCTTTTGTTTAAGTAACTTAGACTGAGCTCGAGTTATACGTTGATCCTTAACTTCGATCATCCGAACCGGGTCCAAGATTGGAGAAGATTCCAGCAGAGGCTCATCCAGAAAACCTCCTTCTGCGCCTTGCATTTCCTCTGGTTCCTGCTTAAACTGTTCTTGCAATTCTCGTTGAGGTTGCTTCTCATCACTCTCCTTAATCTCCAAAGCTGTAGATGTTCGTGGGGATGGTGTTCTTTCCTTAAGAGTAGTAGTGTAGAAGTGCTCTGCCTTCTCCACGGTATTCAAACGATATCTTTCTCCCTTGTATCTCAAAATTATACCAACTGGGGCGTCCCACCGAAATGGTATCTGTTGATTTCGCAATTCTTTAACAAGAAAGCCAAAGTCTTTTCTAGTTTTCAACATTTTAGGAGGTAATTCTTTAAAAACTCCAATTTGTGAGCCCCCCACTTGCACAGAGGTGTAAAAGGATTTTTGCAGGATGTCATTTCTTATTTCTCTGTCTGTAAAATATATGACCACATCTCTGGACAATTGTCTTTGTCTGGCCACCCAAGAATTCACTCTGTAAATTTTATCTATTTTGTGAAAAACCACATCAGGATTAAGTTTTAAAATCTTAGCCAGAGCCTCAGAACAAACCTGTCTCAAATCCTGTCTATCCTCTTCTTGGATTCCTCGAAGCCGTATTGCAAACTCCATTGCCCTGAATTGTACCATCACGATTTCGTTTTCAACTCTCTGCATTTTATTGTCAACATCAGCAATTTTATAATCATTATCTTTCATCTTAACATTAACTTCTGATTTAAATTCT